GCTTGAGCCGCCGCCCCCCCCGTCTTCCACACCATCTCCCCCCCCCTACCCCCGCTTCTTCCGCTCCTCCTGCCGCGCCGCCACCACCGCCACCACTTTCCACCCCCCCCCCCGCCTGCCTGCGCGCCGCAGGTGGCCACGCTGAAGCTGGAGATTGCTGCGCTGAAGAGCGAGCAGGACATACGTGAGGACGAGCTGGTGGCGCAGGTGGCGGTGCTGCAGCAGGCGCTGGCGCGCAAGAAGAAGCGGCGCTCGCCCGGCAAGATGCTGCGCAAGACGTGGAGCCAGGCGGTGGGCTCGCTCAAGCACGGCCTGCAGGGGGGCGGGGGACACGCGGCGGGCAGCCCCGAGGCGGCACCGGGCGCCGGCCCCGGCAGCGCCGGCGTCAGCCCGCCGCAGCCGCCCGCCGCGGCCGAGCGCGCGCAGCCCAGCCCCGGCAGCGGCGGCGGCGGCGAGGTGCGCCGCTCCTGGGGCAGCCTCAAGTCCAAGTTTGGCAGCCTGAGCGGGCGGGGAGGCAGCAAGGAGGAGGAGGCGGTGGCGGCTGGGGCGGCCGCCAACACACCACGCAAATAGGGGCACGCGCATCTGCTGCCTGGCCCCTGCCGGATGGTTGATGTGTACAGAAGAGTTGAGAGCGTCAGTAGGGTTGTGGTGGGGTGCCGGTTGCCCCGCCCATCTCATCCCAGTTGTTTCCCTTCAAAACCAACCCCAGCCAATAGGTTCTTAACCAGTACATCGTAGACGCAACTCTGAACATCCGGGCCACTGATTCTTGTCGATTTATCTTGTTGATTGGTTGAGCAGCACGTGTGCATCCCCGCTACTCTGTATGTATCCAGCCATGCCGTCTGTTCCCCTTGCCAGCGGTGCAACACTTGTTTTCTTTGTCTTGCAACATTTCGGTGTGATGGAAGTGAAGGAAAAAAGCCACAGTGAAGAAATGAGGTAAGCAATGAAGGCAGGGACAAAGGGAGAGCAGGGCACCGGGAAAGAGAGCAGCATGACACGGGACGAGTAGACGGCTCACAACCCACCGGCGGGAGCAGGGAAGAATGGAAGGGGAGGCGAGCCAGGCGGCAGCACCCGTCTCAATGTGACTTCTACTTGGCATCGGCGGCACCTGGCAGGCGGAACCTGCCTCCTCGAAGGGCGCGGGTGCGCCCCGCCAGGCTTACGGCTGGGCAGCGGCCATGCCAGTCGCTGCGTTGCCCTGACAACTCCTCACGCTGCCTTGGCCTCCCCGGTGATCTTGCGGCCCAGGGAGCCGTAGAGCAGGGAGTAGACGGTGGCCATGCACAGCTGCGGGCAGGGCAGGGTGGCAGGTGGAAGGCATGTGTGCGTGTGCGTGCTCTGGTGTGGTGCTGTGTTCTAGGGTGAGGAGGGAGGCGGGCAGCGGGCTGGCATGGGCGGATGTCGGCAAGGCTCACCGTGCCGGCCACGATGTTGCCCAGGGTGGTGGGGATGAGGTTGAGGGTGATGAACTGCTGCATGGTCACGTTGGCGCCTGCAGCAGCGCCACGTGAGCGGGAGCGGGGGCGGATTCGGGGGCCGGAACGGGTGGATCAGGGAGTGCTGGCCGCCAGCAAGCGTGATGCTCGCAACAGTGATGGGCAGCTGGGCGCAGCCTGCCTGGCGCGGCTCACGCACCGCAGACTATGCCCAGGGGCACGAAGAACAGGTTGGCGATGCAGTGCTCCAGGCTGCGAGCAGGAGGGGCAGGGACGGGGCAGTCGGGGGGATGCGGACGTCCAGGCAGGCGGCGCTGGGGCGGCAGCAGGGTGCGTGTGCATGCTGGCAGCCAGAAGGGAGGGTGACAAACGCCCCCGAACGCGCCGCTGGCTGCTGCGGCGGCCAGCGCGTGCCACTCACCCGATGCACACAAAGGCGGACACGGGGCCCAGGCAGGCGATGAACTTGCCGCCCAGGCTGTTGGTGCCCAGGCACTGCCACACCGCCAGGCACACAAACCAGTTGGCGCAGATGGCCTTGAGGAAGACCTGCGGGCAGCAGGAGGGGGCCAGGGGGCGGCACCCAACAGTTGGCACACCCTTGCCGCTCAGCAGCAGCAGTGCTGCCGGCCGTTGTGCCCACCTCGGCCCCGCCCGGCCCCAGCGTCAGCCCCCCACCTGCGTGAAGGTGGCCGAGGTCTTGTAGATGGCCAGCGACTCGGCGCCGCGCGCCAGCTGCGGCAGCAGGCCGGTGTTGGCGAAGATGGCGACCATGAGGGCGCAGCCCAGCATGTTGCCCGCGTACGCGCACACCCAGTTCTTCAGCACGCCGCGCAGCGTGGCCTTGCCCTCCAGGAGGGCCGTCCAGCACAGCGCGGTGTTGCCCGTGAACAGCTCCGAGCCGCACACGATGATCTGCATTGGGGACGCGGGAGCGGCGGGAGTGTGAGGGAGGAGGCGGATGGGTGGGCACGGTGTTGGGGCAGGGCCCAGGTGGGGACAGGCAGGGCAGGGGCAGTGTCGTCAGGGAGGGGTCGGCAGGCCGCCCAGTGGCGCTGCCTGTCGAAGCGCCGGCAGGCGGGCGCAGCGCCCAGCGGGCCCACCTGCAGCAGCGCAAAGGGAAAGCCGATGGCGCCGGTGATGTACTTGGCCAGGCCGGGGTTCTGTGCCGCGATGCCGGGGCAGTTGGGGCCCACTGCGCAGGCAGGCAGGCGTGGATGGGGGGAGGGATGGGGAGGAGGCGGGGAGGGGTTGGTTGGGGTGAGAGAGTGTCAAAGGAGAGAGGAGTTGGAGGAGGAGCTGGTAGCTGCACTGAGATGAGGAGATGACCGGCCGGCCAGGTGCACGCACCCGTCAGCAGCAGCGCCCCGCCCAGGCCCACGTAGCAGCCCGCCACGGCGCCCAGCAGCACAATCTTCCACCACGGCAGCTGGGTCTTGTAGGCGCCCGCGGCGGCCGCCTGCGGTGGAGGGATGCAAACGCAAGGAACGCAGAGCATTCGTCGAGCGGGCATCACTGCACACGCAATGCGGATCCCCAGAAACATGGGCAGTAGTGTGGCAGGTGTGCCCTCCTCTGCCACATGCACACCGGCAGGCTCTGCCCCACCAGCACACCAGCGCGGCGCCCACAGCCGCATGCGGCGCACCTTCTCGTAGATCTGCGGCGGCGTGAGCACGCTGCTGGTGGCCACCTCGTTGCTAACCGCGACAGAACCATTGGGGGCAGAGTTGGGGGCGGCCACGTTCACCACCACGGGCACGGGCTGCGCCGCGGGGGCCGGGGTGGTGTAGGAGGGGGCCTGGTAGGGCTCGGAGCCCAGGGGGGTCGGGGGTGCAGAGCGGCTGCCGCCGCCAGACGGCCGGTCGGGGACGGCCTGGGCCACGATGCGCACAGTGCGCATGGGGCGGGCCAGCCGCACACCTGGAGAGATGCAGGAGGGGAAGGGCTGTCAGGCACCCCTCAGTCAGGCACCCCTCCAGGCTCGAGGTTTGGAGGGTCAAACTTGGCGGCGGCCGCCAGGCAGCGGCGCCAAGTGCTGCCCAGGGGCAGCACTCGGGGCAATGCCGAAATCCAGGAGCACTGCCAAATAGTGCCAGCCAGGTCGCAGGGGCCCGAACACGGCCCACCAGCCGACAAAACGCAGTGCGACCCGGCCCCAGACAGCCATATCGACCCTTTGCCAGTCGCATCGCCACCATCGCACCTGCCCGCAGCGGCAGAGCCACACCACAACCCCTCATCGCCACCGCTTGCTGCATACTGTCACTTGCTGAAGGTCGCAGGGGCGCGCTGCTGCGTTTCCTGAGCGGTCAACGTAATGCTGACTTGCAAAAGGTGAGCTGTTAGAGCACATGCACGCAAAATGGCGCCCTTTGCGCCAGAATCGGCCAGCGAGGCAAACAGCAGCTCATCCCGTAATCCCATTGGGCCTTCTATGTTCCCCACTGATTATTTAAATTACTCGATCAGGGGCACAGCTGCCAGGCAGCGCCGCAGCAGAAAACTGGGGGCTCGACACCCGCCCCAAACCCCTCAGGCCTTTGCCACCCTCTCCTGCCGGTGAAAGAGGGTCGATCGGCAGTCCCGCATTGCAGCTGTAAAGCTCAGCAGGCGCAGGACCGGTGCCGGCGGCGGGAGTACGGCGGCACGGCGTGGCGGCACTGCATCAGTGGAGCCTGCATCCTCAAACCCTCAAACCATCGCACCATCTGGATGGCCGCCGCCGAGCTGCAGGCGGTGCTGCAGGCAGCCGACCCCTGGGCTACTGACCTGCTGCTGTCCGCGCTGGCGGCGGCAGCGGCGTCGCGGCGGCGAGCCACCTGCACGACGCCCTTCCCCACCAGCCTCTTCCAAACAGCAGACGGCGAGCGGGACTATGATGCGCTGCTAGAGAATGTGCAGACGCTGCCGCCAGCGGGGCCCTTGGCTGCTGCACTAGACGGCCTGTCGCGGCAGCAGGCCTCGCTGCTGCACTGGCTGCTGACCCACAGCCAGCGGCCCGTGGGCGGCGTGCGGCGCTGCACGCTACGCGCGGTGCAGGAGCAGATGCCGCTGCTGACGGGGTGGATGGTCGACGTGGGGCGCAACCCGGGGCTGCGCCCTCACGCCGTGCTGCAGCTGAGCGAGCTGCCGCGCGACCTGGTGGATGGCAGCGGGCAGCGGGTGCTGGCATTCCACGGCACCTCAATGGACAACATACACTCCATCCTGCACCACGGCCTGCTCAATGCCTCGGGCACGCGCCTGGAGCGCACCGGTGAGGGGCGCAGGCCGGGGAGGGTGCGCCAGGTGGCGGCGGTGGCCCTGGCTCTGCTCTGGTGGCCGATGGGTGGCAGCCAGGCGACGCGCAGGCCCTTGGATGCTGGATGGCGGTCCTGGAGCCTGCCACGTGCACGCCAGTCCACTCCACACCGCTCTTGCCTCCCCACCACACACACTCCCTGCCCGCAGGCTACGTGTTTGGCAAGGGCATCTACTTCTCCAGCGAGCCCCACGTGGCCTTCGCCTTCAGCCTGCCCACCGACTGCTGGCGGCACAGCGCGCTGGGCCAGCGCCTGCGCTGCCTGCTGGCCTGCAGCGTGCAGCACGAGCACGCGCTGGGCACGCACAACACAGACCTGGTGGGCTGGGATGCGGCTGGGGCTGCTGCTGTGCACAGCCGCGCCCTGCAGTGGTGGCGGCCAGTGCTGTTCCCTTTGCTTGTGATCTGCTTCCTCTGTCCTGCATTGTCGGTTGCCTCCTGTTGTCTCTCCAAACGCCAGATTGCAGCCTGCCTGCCTCTGCCCTGCCCCACATGTGCTTGCAGGTCCCAGACAAGTATCTGCTGGTGGAGCGCATGGATGCCGTGCAAATCCACTTCCTGTTTGTGTACGTGGACGCTGCACCCACGCCAGCGGAGCCTCCGGCGGCACCAGGAGCGGCAGTAGCAGCGCACGCACCCGCCCCTCAGCAGCAAGCTCCGGCGCAGGCAGCTGTGGCGCAAGCAGCGCACGGAGCAGCACACCAGCAGCAGCAGCAGCAGCAACAACAGCGCTCGCCATTGCTATACCTCATCGCCGCCTACCTGGGCTGGTTGGTGTTTGTGGGCCTGCGCGACAATTGGCCTTACATTCGGCGGGTGCTACGCCGCAAGTTTGGCATCCGGCTGTAGCGGTGGTGGGATTGCATAGCAGACGGAAAACCTCTGCTTATGGAGGTTCTGCATACTGTCCGTGTAATTGCACACCTGAGTAAGCCAACGCCAGCATGCATGGGGCTGGGATGCCTGCTGAAGGGCAGTCCCGCGCTCGGCCCGCTGCCGCCAGCGCTGCGTGAGGTATGTTCTCACAGATGAGGGCCCAGCTGCCCGCAGTTACTTTCACCAGTCACCATGACGTTCGTGCCGCTGTATGTAATCGCTTTCAGCACCACAGCGGCCCTTATCACAGAGTTCCTGCAATGGTTCTTCGTGTGGCGCACGCCCGGGTTCAAGGCCCTCAAGGCCAACCTGGCGAAGCACAGCAAGAAGGTGGACGACGCCAAGGACACGGCGGCCAGCAAAAACCTGAAGAAGAAGGAGCAGCGGCTGCAGAACTGGAGGAGTGAGGCTGGGCGGCAAATAGCGGCGTACAACTGGAAAGCATCGCTGGTGGTAAGCGCAGGGACTCGCACCGATGATGCCGCCACCATTGCCCACCGCCCTCCGCCGCCGCCTGCAAGCTTCAAACCGCACACTGCCCCACTGCAGATGATGTTCTGCATGTTCGCCACCTACAAGATCATGATGCGGCTGTTCTCGACCTTGGGCCCGGTGGGGCGCCTGCCCTTCGAGCCGCCGCCCTTCCTGCAGAAAGTGACGCACCGCGGGCTGGAAAGCGCCGATGCGCGGGACTGCTCGGCGGTGCGTGGCGCAGCTGCCGTGGAGCCTTGTCCATTAGCTGGTTGATCAACCACAGCAAACCTCCTATGCTGCACTGTCCCATCATGCATGCCGCTTGCTCGGCCTGCATATGACTGTGCTTTCCCTCCCTGCACCCCTCCCCCGCACCCGCAGGTCTTCATCTTCGTCCTGTGCCAGAGCTCGGTGCGCATGGTGATTGGCAAGCTGCTCGACCTGGGCATGGGGCGGGAGTTCCAGGTGGGGCGGGGAGCTGCGTGGCGGCGCGCACCTGGACGCGGTGGCTGTGGACGGGGTGTATAATAGCATTGTAAGTAAATGCCGAGTTTGGAGGCGGGCCACCCAGTCGTGTGCTGTGGCCGCAGGACATCATGCCCACCATGCCCAAGGGCTTCCCCAGCTTCTTCGAGGACGACAAGAAGGCCAAGTGACCGCCATTCTGACCTGGCCTGCAGCTCATGACGCCATGGCCGCACCCCGCATGCCTTACGCGTACTTCCTACTCTACCGCTATGCTTATGGTCCATCTCACTTTCCTTCCGGTGCACTGTTTACACTCAGCTTTTTGGCTGGCATTTTGGAATGGTTGACAGCTGGCCAGAAAAACGTTGGCTGTAAAAGAAGCAAAATCTTTGAGCACCGGCGTGGCAGGCGAGCGGTGCCCAAGAGGGGGCAGGCAAAGAGTGGAGGGGCAAAGAGAGAGGAACGGGTGGGGATGCGCAGGTAACGGAGGCTTGGAAGTTTGGGAACGAAAGAGGCGCGCACGAGACGGGCTGACACACTTGGGGACAGTATGGGGCAGGGCAACCGGGGGGCCAACGGGCGGGGCGTTCGGGCAGGCAAGATGCGTTGGGGTGGGCAAGAAAAGCAAGGTTTGGAGGGGCCGAAGACAGGGGTTAAGAGAGATCAAGGGAAGGGGGGGGCAAAGTGCACGAGGGAGCGCATTCATTGTTGCAGCAACCAAGCAGAGGAGGAGCCGGGGAACAGGAAACCTGTTAGCATGAAAATGGGGGGGCGCCACGGGGGGATTTCAGGCGCGCACGCAAGTACACAGATTTGGCCATGCATGCATTGTACTGTACCAGCATGCTTAGTAAGCAAAGGTTCGTACTGAGGCAAAATTAGGGCAACTGCGAGGGGTGTCTGCAGTGAGCGATGGCAGGCAACATACGGGAGGCATGCCGCACTCTAAACGAAAACTATCAGGCAAGGGGAGAGGAGAGTACAGCATGCACACATCGACGGCGCTAGGCAGGCCGCTGCACGGATGCTCGCTACCTCTACTGATCCTGCCAGCTCAGGCCAGCACCACCTGCGCGCCGGCGGCAGCCAGGCAGCTCGCGCTGCTTGCTGCGCTGCAGGTGACGGGGCAGGCTGCGGCGATGGCCACAAAGCCCTCGATGGGCTGGCGGCAGAAGGGGCACTGCGGCACCTGGTGGTCCTGGCTGGCACACAGGCGCCGCGCGCAGCCAAAGCACAGGTTGTGCTGGCAGCCAGCCACCCGCACGTCGGTGCAGCGGTCCATGCAGATCTGGCACAGGTCGGCGCCGCACGGGCTGCCCGCCTCCGCCTCGACGCCCGCTCGCTCCTCGGCCGCCGCCGCCAGTGCGGGCCGGCTGCGGCACGCGCGCATGCAGCCGCAGCCGGCGCCCGCCTCGCGGCGGCAGCCCAGGCGGTCGAGCGCGGCGGGCACGCTGCGGCTGCGGCAGGCGGGCTGCGCCGAGGGCGCGGCCGGCGTGGTGGCGGCCGGCGGCGCGGCTGGCGCCAGCGAGGCGGTGCCCAGCAGCAGGTCCACCAGCGACCCCACCTCGTCATCCAGCCGGCGCTGGGACTCCGCGTCTGCGGCAGCAGTAGCAGGGGGTAGGAGGCAGAAGGTGGCAAGGCGTTGGTGTGAGCAGGGAGTGGCCCCAGGGGTGTGCACGCAGGGCTCAGCGGCCTGGGCCACTAGATGCTGCTGCACAGACGGTGCCGCCGGGGGGGGCATGGAAGCGTCCTGCACCCACCTCCTTGCTTCACCAGCTCCCGCAGCTGCTCCACGGTGCGGCCCAGGTGCTGCGAGCGCTCCGCGCCGTCGAGGTCCAGGCAGCTGGCGTGCTGGCGGGGCAGCGCCAGCGCCGCACCCTTGCCGCCGCTGCCGTCGGCCTCCGCCTCGCCCTCCGCAGCCTTGCTGGGGCTGAAGCGGTGCCGCGACTCTGCAGGAGGGCAAGCAGCGGCGGCGGGCGGTGAGCCAGTGGCTGGAGGCATGAGGCGGGGCAGGCATGGTGGCAGCGGGAGGCCAAGGCAGCAACACCTGCCTTGCACCACTCGCCCACCCACCTATGCCATAGGCCTCTGCCCTGCGCTCCAGCTCGTCTATGCACAGCAGCAGGCGGTTCTTCCAGGAGGCGATGCCGGCGCGCGACAGCATGCCCAGACCCGGGAAGCGCGAGCCGCCGGCGGCCGCGCCGTCCTCGGGCTCTGCCGCCGCGGCCGCCAGCAGCTGGCGGCGGCGGAACTCGATGGCGGCGTCCAGCATGGTGGCCAGCACGCCTGTGGCGGTGGTCTTGACCAGCAGCGACAGCATGCTCTTCAGGCCCAGGCGGCGCTGGCGCTGCGCGTCGGCGTCCACGCAGGGGCGGGTGAGCCAGCGCTGCAGCGCCTCCAGCACCAGCTGCTGCCCCGTGAAGAGCGTGACGCTGAATATGGGGTGCATGGCGCCGGGAGCCTAGCGTGGCCTGCAGCAGGAGAGCAGAGGACGCGGGTGGGTCGGCGAGTCAGTGCGCAGGGCGCGCGTCGGTGGGTGGATGGCGAGAGCGCCACCGCGAGCCCGCAGCGGCGCGGAGTACATCCGCCACGCGGCTGCCTGGCTGCGTGACTGACGCAACGAGGCCGTCAGAGAGAAATGCGGGCGACAGAATGGGGGCACAAACCCTGCCGCCGGCCTGAGGGCCTCGTCCCGCTGCTGTGCGCCACCCAGGCGATTGCGGAGCTGCTGGAGCGAGCGGGGCGCTGCAGCCCGCGCCGGCCCAAAGTACCACCCCCATTTCACCCACCCACACAGCGCTCCAAGTGCGTGCAGGCCGCTCACCTCTTTCAGAAGGTTCTCCAGGTCTCAACAATCGAGCCCTGTAGGCTGAAGGGTGCCCAAACCAAGAGCGGCCTCCCTTCCGGCCGCCCTGACGCAGCCCACGCCCTCCCAGCGCTGAACTAGCGCCCACAGAGCCGGGCAGGCTGTGCAGCGACGCAGAATAGCTCGCACAAGGCGCGATGTCGGAGATGTGCAGATCCCAGCGGCCACCTGGCCGGATTGGGCGCAAAAATGATGCATGAGCGATGCAAATGATGCATGCATGTGCAACAGTGGAAATGCGCTTATAGGAGTGGGGCGGAGGCCCGCGGAGGTCGCCAGCCGCCTTCTTGCCCGCCTCCCGCCCCGCCTGCCGCCGCCGCCAGCTGATTTTTGTTGATGCGGAGGCGTCCAGCTTGCTGTATGGGTAAGCTCATGATGCAGCCTCACCGAATGCAGCCATTCATCAGAGCCAGGGGGCTTGGTGCACCACGCTCCCCAACCGCCCGGGAGAAGGCCAGCCACTCTCTCATGTGCCGCAACGGCGTTCCGTGCACACAGTTCAGCAACATGAAGGCGTCGTTGCCATGCATGAAACTTGAAATGTCTGACTAGGACAAAAAGGGCGGCAACAGGGCTGGGCGCTTGCGGGCGCCGTCCGCGGGCTTCAGCGATTGGGCTCAGGCACCAGTGCCATCTGCACAGGAGAGGCAAGCAGGGGCAGGCAGCAGACGCGAGTCACCCGTGTCCATTTGCTCAGCATTCGAGCGCGGTCAGCTGCCGCGCATCGCAACGGCGGGTGCTGGCCCAATGGCAGGCCACCTTGCTGCCCGCCAGTTTGCGGCCCCTCGCCGGGCCAGCGCGTGGGGGCTATGAAGGTGTGAGGATCCACCCCGATGGTGGCAATGCCGTCTGGCACGGGCTCAATGGCGCGTGGATACAGCGTAGCCTCCCAGTCCTCGGCTGTGGGCAGCAGCACGCTGACTTGAGCAGAGTCTGCGCGAGGCAGCCGCAGCAGCAGCGCCGTGGCACCTCACCTAGGGGCGGGCCCATGCCGGGCATCTCGTGAGGCGTGCCGCCGCTCTGCAGAACCTTGGTGGCGTGCGCCGCAGCTGCCATGCTCTCGTCGTGGGCGCCAGCAACCGCCCTCTGCGGGAACGTACTGCGCACCCACTATGCTCAGGCAAAGGCATTGACGGGCAGCAACATCTCACCCACCTGCGCCACCTCTTCAGGCAGCTGCCGGGCCGCGGCCGAGGACTGCAGGTGCTCCTCAGGGTAGCCGCGGTCGGCCTCTGCCTTGGACGGCTCCTCGGTGGTGCTGCCACCGCTGCCCTTCGTGCCCCCTGCTGTGGACGAGGCCATAGAGGCGTCCAGCTCTTGTGTAAACTGGAAGGATGCAGTGGCGTAGGCCAGCCAGGCCACAGGTCATTCCAGAAACAAGGGCAGGCGCCCAGGCATGTGATTAGGCGAGGATGGAGAGCGGGAGGGAGGGAGGCAGAGCGGGAGGGAGCCCCTGGTGTCGCGCCAGCGCGGCGCCAGCTTTGTGGGTGCAACTGTACCCAACGGGTGTTTGCCCTATCTATTCCATCCTCCTCTCTGTCCGGATTGGGGGACAGGGTACCCCCACCGGTGTGGCTGCTTGCCTTCGCCGCCAGCGACGCTGAGCCTGCTGTGCCCCTCTGTGCATCTCAGGGCGAGCGCGTGCTTCCTCTGCGATATAAGTCTAGCGCCTGCTGAGAGCGGCGAGACACTCTGAGCTGTGCACTGGGTGGGATCAGTTCGGAAAACAGTGAGGGCCATCGCCGCTCGCTGCGCAATTTAGGAGCAGCAGGCCCCCAGAGGCGCAGTGACCAGCCATGCCACCCCGCCGGAAGAGGAACAAGGCCGTTGCGGCCCCTGCCGACCACGCCCCGTCGCTGGCGACGATGCCGCCCGACGTGCTCCCAGGATCAGCTGAACAACCCGCAGACCGCGGCCCGCGACATCGCCTCCCTGGCCCAAGCCTCCAAGTGAGCTGAGCTTGCACCCCACCTTTGACGTGCCGCCCGGCCTGTGCGCGGCATGAACCCGCCCCTCCTGCCACTGCAGGGCGCTCGACCAGCTGGCCAAGTCGACGCTGTGGGGCCTGCTGGGTCAGCAGTATGGGTCAGAGGGGGACGACACCGCCAAGTCGCCCATCGCCACGGTGCCCAAGGGCGAGCGCTGGGAGTCGGTGCACCTGGGCGCCACCAAGCTGCGCAAGCTGGAGGACCCGCCCAACGTCAAGGACATGGCTGCGTCCTATGATGGGGTGTGCACCTGGGGATCAGGGGAAATGGGGCGCTGAGGGGTTGGGAAGTGGAAACCCAGCTTCGGGTGCAAGGGCGGGGCATGGTGGGAGGCGAGGCGGCTTTGCCAGCCGTTCACGCCGCCTCTCTCAACTCTCTGCCCTCCCTCCTGCACCCACGCTGCCCCCTGGCCACCTGCAGCACGTTCCCCAATCGGTGCCGGAGCACATCTACTCTGAGTGCTGCCGCCTGCGCTGCCTGGGCACCGCCGTCACCAACGCCAAGGCCGCCTTTGTGCTGACTGACGGCGACCTGCGGGGCTTGCCGCGTGTGGACAAGAGCAGGTGGGTGGGTGGCTGGGGGGAGCAATGGAGGGGCCAGCAGGCCTGGCTGGGTGCCCCGATGGTGCTCCAAATTTGGCATAGGCTGCATTCCACAGCAATCTGCGCGTTTGTGAGCTGTGCCCCTCACCTCCGCTTCCGCCGCTGCCGCGATCATCGCCGCCCTGCGCTGCGGTGCAGGGGTGCTCTGGGCACGGCACACATCTATCGCCTGGTGGACCTGCTGGCGGCGGCGCAGCGCAAGCACGGCGGCGTGGAGGGGATGGTGGCGCTCGTGAGGGAGAAGGCCGGCAAGAGCCAGCAGCGCAAGCGGAGCATGCAGGATGCAGCGGCGGCCCGCCGCCAGGCGCTGGCAGCGGCGCTGGCTGAGCTGGGCAGCACCCTCACGTGAGCCTGTGGCCCGCCTGCGGCTGGCTGGGCTGGCTGTGGCTGCCGAGGGGCACACAGCCGGCCGCCTGCTTGTGCGAGCAGGCGTTGCCGCTGCAAAGGCTCCCGCTCGCATGCTGCCCCTTGCCTTCTGTTATGCTGCGCCTCCATCACCGCCCTGCCTGCCCACGCCGCCGAGGCGCAGGGATGGCATGTGTGAGATGTCCAGCGTGGCGGCGCACCTCAAGAGCGGCGGCAAGTCGGCGCCCAGCCAGGCCTCCCTGCTGCCCATGCTGCAGCTGGCAGACTGGTGCCAGAAGCACACAAATTACGAAGATTTGAGTGGCCTGGCGCCGCAACGGACAGCACACGCTATTGTTCCTGGGCGCTGGGCGTTTCGTGGGCGCGCCTGCTCCCCGGAGCAGCGCTGGGCACCCGGGGGGTGGCGTCCCAGCCAGCCACTGCTGACGCTGCGCTGCTCGCACCTGCCGGCTCCTGCAGATCAGGTACAACCTGCTGCACAGCCAGTCGCGCTGGCTGTCCTTCAAGGCAAGTGCAGAGGGCAGCCCTGGCAGCGGGCCAGCGCAGCAAGGCGCCAGGGGTGCATCGCCCTGCACATGCTTCCACGGGCAAGCCCGGGACCGCATCCACCGGACGATGTGGCGCCTGGCATGAAGCGGGCACCGCGCCACCCGCTTTGCGCCTCCTTTGATGAACCGCCCGACTGCCTGTCCAACTACCTGCCTGCCTGCCTCTATCCTCAGAACCACTTCCGCGAAGAGATGGACTTTGCCAACAGCTACTTTGGCCCCAACTACTTTGTGGCAGCCGACAGGGCAGCAGAAACGCTGAGCGAGGGGGAGGAGCAGGAGTGCATTTCTTTTGCCTGCCAGGTGAGGCGAGGCACGGTCTGCAGTGGTGGTGCCAGGCAGCATAAGCAAGCAACAACGATCCACCGGTCTCTTCCGTCGTCGTTGTGCTAGCAAGGCGGCTGAAGTGGTGGGGTTTTGTGGGGAGTGCGGTGCAGAGGTGGGCAAAGCGGTTTGGCGGCGTAGAGGCGGCGCTGGCACGCCCCGAGATGCCGCCAGAGGGCCCCCTCAAGGAGGCCATCAGCAGGGCGATGCGGCGCGACCTGAAGTACAGCAGCGTGCCAATGGATGCTGGCTTCTGGAGTGAGGAGGAGGAGGAGGAGGAGAGGATGGCCCTGGCGCAGCAACAGCAGCAGCAGCAGGGGGAGGAGGGTGAGGACCGCCGGCAGGAGCAGCAGGAGCAGGACGGGCACCAGGCAGCTGGCGACGGCGAGGAGGGCTCCCTGGACCGGCGCCACTGAAGGACTGCCTGCCTGGCCTGCCCCGCATTTTGGACACACAGTGCCCGGTTCCAGTCGCTGGCTTATTAGCGCACACAGCTAGCTGGATGGAGAAGCAGCGAGAGGCTGCAGAAGGATGGAGGAGGATGTCAGAGCAAGAGTGTCAGCAGCAAGAAGAAGATGGGTAGCGAGCAATAGCTGAATGTAAAAACAATAGTGGGTGACATACAGGGTACAAGATGTGTTTGTGTTGGGTTGGGCGCAGCTACCGCCGCCGCCGCTGCTCTTCCAGGTCTGCATCCACCTTGGGAGCCACCCAGCCGCCCGGCTGGCCGTTGCTGCCCTCGTGTGTGGCGCCGCCGCACAGCTCAGCCGTCACATTGAGGATGCCAATGCCGTCCTCCTTGCCTGCGGCAGGACCAGGCGCTCGGGGGTGCCACCGCTAGTGAAAAGGCCCGGGCTGGCCAATGCATGCCACACAGGCAGCGCAAGGCCAGCACGCCTGCCAGCGGTGCGCAATGCTCACCAGGTATCCAGCTCCCTACCATGCGGTGCATGCCCACCAGGTGCCTGCGGGGAGCAACAGCGGTGGGGAGAGGTGGGTTGGTGGGTAGCTCTGTGGGTGGTAGGCAAGAGCCAGGCAAGCCAGCCGGGTGGCCATGCCGCAACCTGGTCTCACCGCATGTCGCCCTGCCCGCTGGCACGCTCCACGTACACACGCCGCCTGCACTTCTGCTCCCACCACTGGCAGGGATGGAACCAGGTGCCCACACGCCACAGGCGGTACGCTTCAGGCCAGCAGGGAGGGGTGGGGCTGGTCAGGCAACAACGGTGGCTGTGTCCCCCTCCCTTCCTCTCTCGATCCCTCCCTCCCAAACCTCACCTACTCCGTCCAGCGTGTAGGCAGCGCCAAACATGCCGTCGGTGCGCTGCAGCCCCACCGCCTCCAGAGCGGCGGTGAACAGGTCGGGGCCAGTGCGGGCGATGACCTGGGGCAGTGGAGGTGGCGCGCACGGGCGAGGCGCAGGCGGTGCGTGATGGCTCTGCTGGACAGTGAAGGCCTTTCGGTTCGGTGTGGTGGTGGTGGTGATGGGCGGGCCTGGCATCTGAAGAGACCCCCTCCCCGCCTCTGGAGAGTGCGCACCCACCTTCATCACATCTGCATCCGTGTCAATGTCACGCTCCTGCACCAGATCTAACGCCTTGGTGAACACAGGCAGGCCGGGGCGCGCCGCGATGGCGGCATTTGTGGCGCCCTCCCCGCCATGGGTGCGCTGCACGCATGAGCGAGGAGGAAGTCGGTAGGCAGTACAGCGGCGGCTCCACAGCAGCAGCAACAGCAGCAGCAGCATGGCGACCCTTTGCACAACACGAGAGCCAAGCCACCGCGCTGTGCGCCCCCCACCTGCGCCACCAGGTCGAATCCGCGCAGCATGTCGCTGCCCTCGCGCCAGCACTCAATGTCGGAGTCGAGGTACATGCCTGCAGGACAGGCAGCGATGGGAGCATGAGGAGGCAGAGGTGCAGACATGGGGTGCGTGAGCCACCGCCTCTGGCCTCACCTCCCAGGCGGTGCAGTATGGCATACCGAGCCACATCGCTTCGCTCGATTGCCTTGGCTTGTTGGAAGAAGGGTAGGAACGAGGGGTAGTGGTTGGCTATCAGCGCCTGCAGAGACAGTGGGCTGCGGCTGGGAAGGCAAGCGGGCTGGCCACGCAAGAGTGCAGGCCAAGAGGGGCCCGCACCTCTGCCGCTGCCCCGTCCCAAAACATGTGCTGCCATCCCGCATCGGCACTGTAATGGAGCTGGCACGACTCGACGTATCGCTCGTGTGCGATGGGCATGGAGAAATTGGCCCTGGAGCGGCAAGCGGGGAGGTGAGTGGGTTCGCTTTGCAGGGCGAAATGGCTGTGCAGAGCGGAGGGTGGAAGAGATTGGCCCCGGGCATTTCCCCCACCTCTTCTTGTCTCTGGGGTCCGCTATGTATATTCGGTGCAGTATGCGGGGGATTCTGCCCGGCTCGTGCACTGGTGCCAGTGCGTCTGCCGCCGCTGCCGCCATCGCCATCGCCGCCGCTTGGGCCTGGTCTTGCTCTGCGCCATTCGCCTGCCGCTGCTGCTGCTTCGGTGGGGTATTTTGGCGCAATTTCCGTCTCTTACTGCTGCGCAGGGAGACAGCGACGTGCAGCGAGGCGCAGAGGGTTATGGCCAGGCATATGGCCGCGAGCAGCGACCACGAGCGCGATGGTGGGATTCGGGGCCTCATTCCTCGCATTAGAATCATGCGCCAGCAAGTTTGACTTTTGCTGTCCTGGCGGCGACACGTCAGCACGGCGCGGGACCCGTTCTGCGTGCGCAGTCTGCTCATCAGCAGCCAGCGCAATGCTGTCCAGCCAGAGCAATGCTGTAACAGCGTTACAGCGTTTGTAATTACATGCCTGCATGGCGCAGGCCAGCTACTTGTGGACGTCAACCTGCTGCAGCACGCTTCTGAGCAGCTTGGCGGGGTCCCACCCCTTGCCGCCGCCGCCGCCCTCGCCCTCGCCGCCCTCGGCTGCCGCCGGCAGGTCGTCTGCGCCCAGACCTGATGCCGCGGCAGGCGCCGCCAGCTGCTGCAGGCACCAGCGCCACCCGCAGCGCCCCTCCTTCTCGCCCGCCTGCACGCAGGCACACACCAGACGCTGAGCAGACAGGGCAAGCACAGCACACGGAATGCCGGCGGGGACACAACAGGTCCCCGGCCAGCCAGCGCTGCCAGCCAGCTTGCCTGCGTGCAGTTGACCCAGGGGCAGAAGGGGCGGTGCAGCGCCAGAGGGTCCAGCGCCGCCACCTGCACGCCAACATACTTGCCCGCCACAGCGGCCGCCGCCACCAGCTGCTGCTGGCCGCCGGGCAGCGCCGCGGCGGGCGCCGCCGCCGCCGCCGCTGCTGCTGCGGCCCCAGCGCTGCCATTGCCTGCTGCCGCCTTGCTGCGCTTCTCTGCTGCTGCCTTGGCATCGATGTCAGCCATCACTGCCTGCCAGCTGAAGTCGGGCTGCTTGCGCTTCAGCCCAGCCCCGAGCCCTGCCTCGGCCCCCGCCTGCCCCGCGCCAGCGCCCTCCTCGCTTGCCGCGGGCTTGGACGCCTGCAGTGCCGCAAACCCGAACACTGGCACGCCGGCCCCGGTGCCGCGGCTGCCGCTACCAAAAGGCGCTGAAGCCGCCGCCGCCGCTGTGGCCTCTGACTCTTGCGCGGCACCAGAATGACCGGCTCCATTGCTGGCCCCATTGCTGGCCAGGGCATCGGCAGCAGCAGGCTGCAGCGCGGCTGCGCCAAAGGGAGCTGCCGCCATGGCGCCACCCGCAATGGTGGTTCCCATGTCGGCCGCCACGTTGCGGCTCACTGTCCTGGTCACGGCGGCAGAGGGCGAGTGCGCGGGGCCGCCGCGGCGCCGCGGCGCCGCCAGCACCAGCGGCTTGCAGTGCGGGAAGAAGGTCCAGAGGCCCGCCTTGGCGTTACAGAGGCTGCACAGCAGCGCCGCGCTCTCGGGGCCCACCAGGCTGGGCAGCTCCTGCTGCTGCGGCTGCGGCTGCGGCTGCTGCTGCTGGCTGCTGCCGCCGCCAAGCTCGGCTGCTGCTGCTGCTCTGGCTGGTGGCGTCGGCGGCGCTGCCGTCATGAGCTTGAGGTCCCAGCCGCACAGCGCCAGCAGCCGCGCGCGCGCCTCAAACGGGGGCGTGCCCAGCGCCGCGGTGCCCTGCCCCACGCTGGCCGCCGCATCCAACTGCACCGCTGCTGCCGCGGCGTGCGATGCCGGCTGCTGGTGGCAGCCCGGCGGGCCCTGCAGCAGCAGCTGGTCCAGGCGGGGCCTGCTGGAGGCTGCAACCAGAGCCTCGTAAGGCTCCGCCGCCACGGGCGGCAGGCAGGCCAGGCGCTGCAGCGCGGCGCACCGAGCGTCAAAGTCGCGGCGCACCGCCTCCTGCGGGCAGGCCAGGCGGGACAAGCGGTACAGCGTCAAGGGACGCCACCACAAAGCACCGAATGCAGCGCATGCCGGCCGTGCAGCATCGCTTGTTGGGGCCACAAGCAGGCGGGGGAGGTGTAGGGAGGGCCCCGGCGGGCGTGCTCACCGCGGTCAGCGGCGGGAACTGCAGCAGGGAGAGGGAGGAGGATCCCGTGCGCCAGGGGCAGGCGGCATCGTGCGACTCGCTGAGCTTGGAGACGTACCGCTGCCCTGCCGCAGCAGCCTGCTCCGGCAGGAGGTCGGCGGGGATGGGGCAGCTGACCTTGGCCTTGCAGAACTGCAGGCAAGGGGGCAGGGAGGCGGCACCGGTGGGCCGTGGCCCGGCTTGCACAGGCCGCGGGTCGCAGCATCCCTGCTGCAGCTTGCCCTGCCTGCCCCCTGGCAGCTGCTCCGCACCTCGCAGCTGAGCAGGTCGGCGGCGGTGTTGGTCCAGCCGCGCCGCGCGCACTCCACGGGGCTGATCACCGCCGGCTTGCAGAACCAGGTTGAGGAGCGGAAGGTGGCGAGGCGGCGGAAGAGGTCGCCGCGATCCCAGGGCCGGCCCTTGCCGCCACCGGCGCCCGCCGCCGCTCCCCCGGGGCCCACCGCCACGGGCAGGCTGGGCTCGTCGCTGTGCTGGGCCTGGAGGTGCGGCAGGTAGAGCAGCGAGTCCAGCGCCTTCTGGATGCGCTCCCGGCTCGACATGCTGGGGGCGCTGCCTGCCCAGCGGTTGAGGGATCTGTGGGGGAGCAGCCAGGGGTAGTGGTGTTTGTGTGGCCCTGCAGCACTTCAAGGAGCGGCGGCGGCACTGGCGGCTGGCGGCAAATAAGCGGCAGGCTGCAGGCCCACCCTTGAAGGCCCAGGGAGGCTCTGGATGCCCGGCAATCAGATTATGGAGGCGTCGGGCCTTCTCAAGGGCGGGGCTGGAGCCCCAGAAGCGCGCAGGATGGCGATCAGGTGGTGAGGCGGCGACAGGTGAGCTCTCCAGCCTCCTGTACTTGGAATTCAGCAATCCGAGAGCGATGGGGCGGGCATGATTCAATTTACAAGAGCAGGGCCGCCGACAGAAGTCATGCGGCGAGGGGCCTGCCTGGGTCGGGTCAGTACATGCTCCCAGCGCGGGCCTCCTGGGGCCTCTTTCGCCCGCTAGTGGAGACCAGTGGGATCAGTAGAGCCGCCAACATGGGCGTAAGCACTGCTGCCTGCCGCCGCTTGGCTGCGCGCTGTGGCCATGGGGTGGATGGCAGCCTGGGGCGGCAGGGGGCAGCTGCGGCGGCTGTGAGATGGGTCCTGGGTGTTTTGCACCGGCCTGGGCCCTCGCAGCGGCAGGCCAGCATGCGATGCCGCCCCGAGCAGCGCCTTTCCCGTTGTAGCCCCCTGCCGCTTCATGTGACTACACTTGCTGCCCCGGAGGCCGCGTGACGGCTCCTGGGGCGGCGCCATGCGTGCCTGCCCTGGTGGCACCGCCACCCGCCTCCTGCCGACCGCCCTCCCTTGCTCTCTTGTGCCTGCCGCGCTTGTCTCGCTCCTGCTGCAGTCTCTGGTGGGCAGCGACAACTTCACGCACATTCTTCGTGTGCTGAACACCAACGTCGATGGCAAGCAGAAGATCATGTATGCTCTGACCGCCATCAAGGGTATTGGCCGCCGCTTCTCCAACATCTGCTGCAAGAAGGCTGAGGTGGACCTCAACAAGCGGTGCGCTGGCAGGCTGGGCTGTGTGGGGGGCTGCCGATGCCGGCTGCCGGGGCGAGGTCAGGAGTTGGGCAAGTCGCAGGCAGCGCTGCTGCTTGTGTTGGCCGGCTGGAGCGCGGCAGGACACGTCGAGCTCGGCACATGGGGATGGCATTTGGACAGCACATGGGCCCGGCACATGCACTCAGCCTAACTATGGGAGCAGCAAGCAGCATATTGGACGCCAATGACGGCAGCGCAGCCTTGGGCGGATGCCAGCCCGCTTTGTCGGGCTTCCTCAGCATGCGGCCGCTTGGTGACAGGCAGCACACCAGCAGCCATCGCTCCCGTGGCGGTGCCATGTGCACGCCACGTCACGCACGCTGCTGCAGCATGCGTGCAGCACGTTCCTGGGCTCAGCATGGCCCAGCACCTCGTGCCGCCCGCTGCCTCATTGCGTGCCTGCGCCCGGCGTGCTGACGGTCTGCCTGCCTGCTCCGCGCCCCCGCGTGCTGCCTGCGTGCAGGGCGGGCGAGCTGTCTGCTGAGGAGCTGGAGAGCATCATGACCATTGTGGCCAACCCTCGCGCCTACAAGATCCCCGACTGGTTCCTCAACAGGCAGAAGGACGTCAAGGATGGCCGCTACAGCCAGGTGCGGCCCCCGCGCCCTGCTGGTGCTGGTGCCAGCCACCTGCTTTGCACCGCTCCCGCTGCCCTCCTCCCTGCTGCGCCGCCGCGGCATGCTGCGCCTGCCCGAGCTGCTCGTGTGCCAGCGGCTAGATGTGCGGCAGTGGCTGTGGCCAGGGGAGCGGCTGGAGGTGGATCGATGACCAGCAGAGTGATAAGGCGTTGCAAGGTGGCAGCAGGGAGGACAGCTGGCCCGGTGCAGCACAGTACGGCGTAGCCCTTGTGGCGGAACTGAGGGGGCGGCATGCCAGGATCTGGTCTGGGGCTCAGCATGACCGAGGATGCAGCATGCTGGCAGTGCAGACCAGCATAGCATCAGACTGGCAGTGGCCGCACCACGCCTCGTAGAGCCTCGGCCAGCCACGCGCTGCTCAGTGCCCCCAGCCGCTCTGCTGCTGCACTGTCCGACTGAATCGCCGCAGCGTGTAGCATCGCCCTGACCAGCCTGCCATGCGCCTGCGCCCCACCCTCCACACACCCTCCCTCCCGCAGGTCACCTCCTCCGCCCTGGACACCAAGCTGCGCGACGATCTTGAGCGCCTCAAGAAGATCCGCAACCACCGCGGCCTGCGCCACTACTGGGGCCTGACCGTGCGCGGCCAGCACACCAAGACCACTGGCCGCCGCGGCAAGACTGTGGGCGTCGCCAAGAAGAAGTGAGCGGCGGCGGCGGCGGTTGGACGCCGCCGGCGCCTCTGCGGAGCCGGCGGCGGCGTCAGCTTAGGAACAACTTGGCAGAGCCAGCGGGCAGCGGTGGAAGTTTGGATGTACGCGCTGCTGCCGCTGTGTAATGCACCACACGTGAGGTGCTGCGGTGGTGGTCAGGGCAGCTGCGGCATAATGCCGGTTACATGGCGGAGAGAGGGTGGCTAGTAGCAGCCACGGCGTGCAAGGGAGCGTAAATGAAATGGGGAGCAGGGAGGAGAGGGGGAGGGTTTCCGATGCGCGGCATAGCGTAGCCGCGCAGGGAGGTTCCAAAAACGGGACGGACAGCAGGGGGGGACGCAGCAGCAGCGGGATCCAGACGGGTCAGCAGGGAAGCAAGTTCAGTGAAGGGGCGGCGGTGGGGCCGCGCCCGCAGCTCACACCATGGCTGGCTCCTTGGCGGGCTGGCTGGGCTTCACGCTGGAGGTGTTCCAGTCCTCTGCAGGCCCAACAGGAGCGGAGGGCAGGGGGTGAGGCAGGCAGGCGAGCAGGGGCAAGGCCAAGGCGACAGCAACCAAACTCCTGCACGCTCGTTCGATGCGCCGCCTCGGCGTCCCAGGCGCGCGCCGCCTCGGCGGCGGCACGCCCGCGACCCCGGCCCTCGCCGCGCGCCTCCCCTTCCCGCCTCACCTGCGATGGCCTGCGCGCAGAGCTTGCCGCTGAAGGTGGCCCCCTCCATGGATGCCAGGTAGCGCTGCTTGGTGTAGTCTCCCGCCAGGTAGAAGTTGCGCAGCGGGGTGCGCTGCGTGGGGCGGCAAGGCTCGCAGTCGGGCACCGTCTTGTACACCGACAGCGGCGTCTTCACCACCTTGTACTTGCGGATGGCGGCCTTGCTGCCGTCAGCCGCTATCTCGGTGGGGAACAAACGCTCCAGCTCCTGGGGAGGGGCGGGGCAGGGGTTGGGGTGGGAGCAGGGAGGAGGGCGGGGCAGGAGAGGGGTGAGGGGCGGCCCCGGGGGCAGGATGGGGGCGCGGTGGGCTCGACCAGGGACGGCTGGCACTGGCAGGGCGTAGCCTCCACACCGGGGCCACCATCCTCACCACATCACCCCCCCCCTGCCTTGCCCTCTTCCCATGC